ACCGACCTCGGCTCCTCCGTTGAGGGCATCGACCTGGTTACGGGACCCGTAGTCGTAGCACCTCGGTTAGTGGAGGCATTCTTCACGCTCTGCAAAAACATCAAGCGACCCATCTCTATCTCCCTTTCGAACATGAGATGAATATCGGTATTGGGAACTTTGCGTCGGAATGTTTGGGCCTCCTTGACCGTTTTGAAACCAAGGAAACCGAGAATGGGATAGTAAACTGAAAATCCACACCAAGGCGAATCGTAAAAAGAATGAATAGATGATAACAAAAACAACTCACATCAAAACCGATAGCAAGCACCCGAGTTTACCAGGGGGGAACGTTCTGAACGGACGAACAGCCGTGAGTTCTGCTTTAGCGAGATCCGTCTCCTTCAACAACGTCTGTCAACTGCGAGCGGAGAAGTCGAGTTTCGCGAGATCCTTGAGTCTCTCTTTGAATTCAGCCGTGAGTTTTGGTTCCTTCTTCCTCCGAGCTACAAAGACCAAAAGTTCCGACCTGTTAGCGAAAGAAAAAAGACCAACAGTCAGGAGGTGGTGAAGTGGGATGTCAAAGAAAATCTTACCATAAGAAGAAACAGCTCGGTTTGGGACGGTCATCCCATCAATCTTCGATTCCAAACTGAAGTCGGCTGACTCCCAGTCTCCGCCGACCCAGAACCATTCTTCCTGGAAGCCATGTAGAGTATCGGGAATCATGGTGATTAGTTGGCCGACCTTCAGATCCCCCTGTGCTTTGGCAGAGCAGAAAAAACAACCGGTGGGCGGGACGCCATCCCGCTCTCGGCTTCGCTTAAAAAAGAAAACACTCCGAAACTCGTCGATAGAGGGAAACGACAACTTTTTCTGTTTGCAGAGGACCAAAAGGCCAAGGATTTTCTTCCAACTGTTCGGCGTGATCTGACTGATACCGATTCCCCAATCTCGGAGGTAGTCGGTAATCATGTTGGGAAGGGGGAACCTCAACCCCGACCTGATACTCTCCGCAAATACCCCAACGCAGCCAGGTGGAGGGGAATGGATCCTCTCCCCAGGGTAGGGGGCGAACATCTTCACCGTAGGAGGGATACTAGCCGACTTCCTCAGTAACACCACGTCGGCGTCGGTCATTGAACTGGGTTCGCCAGGGAAAGTCGCATCAGCGTCGGCCCAGCGACGGGGAGGTCGATTTCAATAACCTTCGCGGATGGGGAGATCTTTCTCGACCTCAGCGTCGCCTTCATAATTGTTCTTCTTGAGGACCAAACGCTCGGCCAACACCGGATCCCAACGGTAGTACCCTAGCGCCAACTCCACGTCCGCCTCCTCGTCAGAGGAAGATCCACGAACCACCTCGTCGGAAATCGTCCGACTACTGCTATCAACCTCTCGTTCCGCCATCGTCCAAGCGACGGATAGAACTTCGAAGACAAGGAAAAAGAAAAAAGATACAAGGACAGAAAAATAAAGATAGATTGGAGAACTCACCACGAACAGACGACAAAGTCGAGGACATCGGGAACCAGAGATCGAGGGAACTAAGGGAGATATGTGTGAAAGGAATGAAAGCCAGATTCTGGGTAAAGGATGACGTGATTCGAAAAATTGGAGAAGAAGGGATATTTATGCTCGAGCAATATGACCGTTATAAGAAAACTGACGTTCACGAACTGCCGCCTTTAAAGATGGAGACGTTTCGCGCTGTCAAAACGGTTACACATCGACGAACAAGAACCTGCCACGTAATAAAGCTGTCAGAGATCGTGGGAACGTGTAATGAAGGGACGTAACCGCTCAAAATCGGGGAATCAAGCGCGTCGCTTCGCATCGACACGCGCCGTACCGGAGGAGTTGTGAACCCCAAGTAAGAAGAGTCGCATTTGTTGGCTAAGTATAAGAAGTCGGCTGGAGTCCTAAAGCATGAGGTACTGACAGAAGATGAAAAATGACGTTAAGGAGGACCAAAGTATATGTTCCCCCTCAACGTCAGGGGCCTCAATGTTGACATTAAATTCCCTCGGACGTCGGATGAACGACACGTGGATGAAAGGAAGAAAAGGGGTCGATCCGAGTAGAACGAAGAGAATGTTCCCGAGCTGTATAAACCGACCTCGGAGAGCCGACTACGCCAAGACACCGACCCCGCAGCAAAGGCGACCTCAAATATGGGCCGACGTCGGTACCGACAGGCAGCATTAAATGCACGTCCATCAAGATAGCTGAGAGCCACGTGAGGGCATCATTGCAAAGGGGTCCCACTTGCTGAAAAGGGTCTGGGCCCTGTCACACTGCATTAAATGCCGCCGCATCCCCTCAAAAGACGAGCCCACGGTTACTATAAATAGCCGCATTAAACACAATACGAGGATCTTTTTTCGGACACATTAAATTCTGGATTTATCACCTCGGTTTTAGTCCATTCTTCAACATCACTGTACTACCAAAAACCGACCTCAAGTCCGAATAACCGACTTGAGTCAGTTACTAAATACTCCACATTTAATCAATAAAATCGCATCATTTCCACGTGAATCCAAGAGTTTAACATTTAAAAAGGTTGATCAAATCCGTTTATCAACATACAAGTTAACTAGAATCGATAAACAACATATTTGAAACTCTTTGACTTAATAGACGTGCAAAAGTATTACAAGAATTCAAATTTAAGTAATCAAAAAAACCCCCAATTTCTCTCCCCCATTAAACCTACTTCTGCGGCGCTTCTTTTTTCTTCAGCGATTTCGCCTTCCTCGGTGCCGGTTATCCATGGCCAGGGTCGTCGATGACCGTCCCGTCTTCCTTTGAGGTTGCGCGCTGTTGAATCTCGGCGGATGGGCCTCGATTTGTGCTCGAGCTCGCGGTTGCAGATTGGAGTTCCAGTGGCGGCGCCGTTCCCGGGTAGGTGCTTGGTGGTGGTGTCCCTTCATCGCCGACGAGTTCTGACTGGAGATGGTAAGTCTGCTGTCTCTTTTTCTGTGCTGACGGGTTGTCTTCTCCGGTGGAGCTCCGTCCTTTCTGATGGGTTGGAGCCTTTGGTTGGGGGGTCTGCTGAGAGGACGGGTGGCGAGCGGGTCTTTGGATTGACGGGACTCTGGTGGCTGTGGCGGCTGGTTGCAGTGGCCGGAGTGAGGGTTGTTCGCTCGACACATTCCCCTGTTTTGACTAGTGGTGTTAGGAGGCAGGGGAGATTTCCATCGACTTCGTCTAGTGGTGTTAGAAGATTTCGTTTGGAATCGGTGTGGGGTTCAATTGGCTCTCTCGGTTTTTGATAGGTCGATTCGGGGATTAGTTTGGGTGTAGGTTTCTCCTAATGTATAGGCTTGATTGCAGTTTCTGTAGCAGACTCCTGGCCTGAATTTGTCTTGTGTCGATCGTTCACTGCTGGTTCGGGCTAACTCGTTCGCTGGGGAAGGGCTTTGTTTGTTGATAGATTAGGTTCCTTTGCCTTAGTTTTCTTGTCGTGTTGTGCTTGTGTTTTTGGTTGAACCATTTGGTCTATGTGAGTTTTTATCAGTTTTAGTTATTCAGTTGTTTAGTTGTTTAGGGTCGTGTTTTTGGTCTGGGCCGTTGGCCCCTGTGAGCCCGTCTGCGTTCGGGTGTTTCCTCGTTTGGGGCCGTTCCACATTACCTCATTTGGGGTCGTTCCACATCACCCCGCTGGGGTCGTTTTATTTTGTCTGTGTCGTTGGTTCTTGTGTTGGTGTTTGAGTCGTTTTCTTTCTAGTCTTGCTAGCGATTCTAGGCGGACCTCGGTCTAGCTTCCAAGTTTGTATTTTCGCACATTTGTGCACTTGTCTATAGTACTTCTATCGTTCCGAACAAAAAAAA